CCCTAGGTAGTCCCCATATTAGTCCTTAGTGAACCGCGAGGAGGCCTGAAGAGCATGATGCCCTTGTTGTTGGTGAACACGGCGGCATCGTTCATGCGCCGAGGCGACTTGAAGTAATAGCCATTCACCTGGGTGGTCCACTTTCTGATTTAGGGTTGAGGATTGGGTTTGGGGTTTTGGGGATTAGGGTTTAGGATTTAGGGCTCTGGATTTTCTTTATGGCATTCCCCAATATCAGAATAGGATCCTCATATACCCACATTTTAGCTACTTCAGGGGGACTATAGTTCTAGGTGGGGCTAGAAAAAAAGCTACAGCTAAAACAGCAATGCTGGCCGCTTCTATCTAAGGTCCTAGCCTAACTGGTGGTTAGTCGGGAATAAGGGTTTAGGGTTTCAAGTAAATCCCTGTATAGCCCCGATATACCCCGACATAATATCTTCCCTCTGCCCTACGAACCTCGGGCTTGCAGGCGCAAAGACTCTAGGATTAAGGGCCTCTGCGAGGGTAAGTTCAAGCCCTGGAGTACAACCTATGCTTGTTCGGGTTTGGGATTAAGGTTTGAACCTCTGGGGGGTGGGGGGTTCGTTTAGGCTGTTTAGGTTCCCTCGGCACCCATGAGATCCTTTTGTGCATCCAGCATCTGCAGGCCTCCTTGGGCAAGCACACCACGAAGCAGCACTCATGGGTAGATATGGCTACTCACGTAGCACATGAGAGGATTAGAGTGATTATGCCTGGTAGTGTTGACAACTTCAAGTTAAGCACCGTAGATGAGGGCATCGTCATTCCTCCGGCGGAGGGACCTTGTCCACGTCAGAGGTCTTCTCCGCCACGTCGGAGGAAGTCTCTCCACGCATCTTCGCAAGCTGCTCCTGATGGACCTTTCGTCGCTCGTCAAGCCAGGCCTGGATGTTAGCCACGGCTTCCTCGGGCTTGTTCTTGAAGAACATGAAGTAGCCCTGCAATTCAGCCATGGATAAGCCTTCGTCCTCACAGACTGTTGCAAAGGTCTCAGACAAGCCCTCCTGGCCAGGGAAGAAGCGGATGTACATTCGCTTCAGCTGAGACCTGGAGGCAAGACCCACATAGATGCTCAGATCGACTCGACCCGGTCTGACAAGAGCCCGGGGTAATGCATGGAAATGATTTGTGGTCATGAAGACCAACCTCTCCTCAGTTGCGATGACACCATCAAGGGCGTTCAGAAGGCCGCTAAACGTCACCCGAGTGACTCCTGCGTACGGCCCTGTTGGATCATGCGGCGCCTGCTGGCCCACGGCGAAGTCTACATCCTCGAGAAGCACTAGAGATCTTGGAGGGACGACTGCCAACATGTGCGCGAGCCTGTCATCTGTCATGCTTGGGTCGCCCAAGTTCAGCACACAAATGTTATACCCAAGGCGCCCAGCAAGCGCAGAGACGAACGAAGACTTGCCACATCCAGGCGGGCCGTGCAGGAGGTAACCCCTCCGATATGGGATGCCTCTGTCAAGATACCACTGTTGGCTCTGCAAGAAGTCCTGGATGTCCCCAAAGACCTGGTCCGACACTCCGGTGTCCAAGACTACTGAGTCGAAGGGCCTATTACGCTTTGGGTTACCAAAAGGTCTCCACTCATGTCCATAGCACTGGTAGATGATGGTCATGCCCTCCTCTCTTGCCAAGGCCGCCTGCTTAGCCTCAGAGAGCAGTTCATGGAAAATGCCTGGGCGAAGCGACAGCGCTGTCAGCGTCAGCGTCTCCCAGGGTGCGCCCGTGGACATGTCCACCGTTTTCGTCTCTCTGGCACGATCCACCATGATGAAGTTGCCACGCCACCGCACCCAGTGTCTGCCAGGACTTGGTATAAAATCAAAATCCGCCGTTTGTCGCCCTGCGCTGTCCTTCACGTAAGTTGTTTCAACGCCAAGGTGGCGGGAACCATGGACACGGTTTGCAACCATCCATTGCATCACCCACTGGTAGGCGTAGTCTTTGGATGGTATCTCCAGCGTCATCAGCATCTGTCGTCGGAAGGCGACCTCCGCCAGTGTGGCGCTTCGGCGAAGGACGCTCATGGCTGCACCCATTGCACCCAGCCCAAAGCCAGCAGTGAAAAGTGGGTTCCCAGCCAACCACTCTGGCAACGGCAGTGGAAACTTCGTGGTATCCAGGGGGGGCATCTGGGAAGCAGCGCCGCCTCCACCTAACGCCGCCATGTTCAACGCCATTGTGGCTCCAAGGGCTGGGAGAACGGCTGAGTATGAGATGCTATCAACACTTTACTGGCCCAACTGGGCCTTCCCACACTGATTGGGTGGGTCAGTTTAAGTCTATTGCTTTTCTACGTGATTCATGAAACTACTGCAAATATCTGCGCTGCAGCTTTCCTGCACATGAGCCTGTCGCGGGCAGACAACTTGCAATCACTGATTTGCATACTTGTTTATGAATTACCCGGCTCTTCTGCATTCAGCCTCTGCAGATTGACACTAAAACCCTAAACCCTGTCAACTACGAAGCCCGAACGTTGAACACCAGGCAAACATCGAGCAACAGTTATGCGCTTCCAAGACAGGGCAAAATACCTTTCTGGAATACTACCCTACCTCAGCGGTCCGAACTGAAATCATTTGTCTTGTCCCAAGACTCCCTAATGCCTTACCCTTCTTGTCCCCAAAAGCACGGGATTTTGAGGCCCTAATGAGGATTTCCCAGAGTAGAGGTACCATTTTGGGGGTCTTAGTATTTTGGGGTCTATATTGGGCTCCCCCCCTTTTTGAAAATTCCTAATCCCTCCAGAAAGTCCAGGTGCAATGTCCACACCGGCTTGCTCAACGAGGTAGGCCGCTGGCTGGACAACAACCTGGCGAAGGACCATAATTATATACTTCCACCAGTGGTAATACGGTTATCATGATTGTTCATTACTATTACCCTCATGGGTGGTTGTCAAAATTATGGTCCCTTTTTGGATCCCTATTATAATACGGCACCTAGTATTTATGGTACCCAAAAAAGGACCATAATTTTGACATCCACCCAGTTGTGCTATTACATGAAACCCATGCAATTGTCAGAATTGCCTAGGCTCATGTGCTTTTGAGGAGGTTCTCAACATGATGATTCCAAGGTTGGCGGTGCATCAGGGGGACCCCCTGTGTGGGTTTAGGGTTTAGGGTTTAGAGTGAATGATAAGGAAGAAAATCAAGAGCCATGTTGGCGTACCTTGAGCTCCTAACTTACTGTTGGTTCGTAGGCAATGAGGGAATATAATCACTATATAATCCCCACACAATGTATTCCTTTATTCCCTACCCTAGGCCCTAAACCCTAAACCCCACATAACATATTCTCTTCTTCCCTACCAACCGCCAGGAAATTAGTACTTCATGTACTGCAAGCATGGATTGGCCGTCAGCTCCCATTGCGCGCTCAAAGAGATGCTAAACAGTGGGCCGCGGTTCAGGGTTTAGGGTTTTTAGGGGCTTTACCACTTGCATGGCGATGACAGCATCGCAAGGAAATATCCATTTTTGTGCAGGACTGATCCACCCTCTGCCCCACAAAATCCTTAGCTCCCCTCCATTCTGTTGGTGGGCCGAGTGTTGTCAAACCCTGCTTCGCTGAACCTCAAGAACTGTAGATCTCTATACAGAAAGTCATGCATGTTCTCTGCACTGAACCCGAACTCCCGAACCCTAAACTAAACCCACTGAACATCTTAACTAAAACCTCAACCGTTGGGGTGGGGCTGGCTTTGCGCACTCTGAAAAAACCCTATGCCGAGGCCTGGATGGTAGAGTCGAAGGATAAGCCTGCACCTGGGTAGCACAGGGACCTATAGGTGTAGGGTACAGAGTGTAGGGTGCAGGAAAGGGTTTTGGGTGTAGGGTTACCGGTTTGACGTCAGGGGTAGGGATATGTAGGGCTGTTTTGAGGTGCTTCACGATATTTAAGAATATACCCTACGTAGGAGCACATGGTGATATGTAAAGGGATCTAAGGATATCTAGAGGAATTTAGGTATATCTGAGGATGCATAAGGATATATGGGGATATTAGATGGCATGACAGGTATATAGGAATATTATAAAGGCAGATAGTTTTATGTAGTGATGTACTGGGCATACATAAGAAAATGGAAACTGCTGTATTCTTCAGGGTTCAGTATAGGGTTCAAGTATACAAGGAGCGTAGGACCCTAATTACTATTGGCGATTAGTTCGACACCTACAATAATATTATGGGATCGATGGTTAAGAGTGCAGGGGCTAGGGCGTCAGGGTGTAGGGTAGTTTGCGTTTGAGGTGTTATGTGATTGTGGTCGTCTCAAAGGTGTTGTGAACATGGGTTTTTGCATTTTTTCTTGAAACTTAGGGGCATGGCTCTTCTGGCAACAAGGAACCTAGGAGTATGGGCGCCTTAGTCCTCCCAAGAGAGGAAAGAAGTTCCGCTGAAACAGCTCAGCTTGGCAAGCTGGCTGAAACTAGTGCAAATGAGACGCTTCCAACAGTCTGGTCATCGCGCAGGATAGTTCCTGCAAACAACGCCGGCGGAACGGGGCAAACCATCATGTTGTCTGTCTGCAGTATATAAACTGGTGTGCCGCTAAGGAACTTAAGTCAAAGTACCAAGTCATGGGCATACAGTAAATGATGGGGGGTTCCCTCATGGCAAAAAAAATCTTAAGAGCAACCCGATAAACCCTTCCCTCCAATATTAACCCCCCCACCCCTCGTAATGTTAAATGCTGCCCATTGCGCTATATTATGATATACTGGGACTATTTAATATTTGGGGGTGTGGGGGTGGGGGGGTTACGTAATATTAGGGGGAGGGGGTTAAAGCTGCATGCTCCCTCCACCCTAAACTCTTTTTTTTTTTTGAACCCATAACCCTAAACCCCCTAACATGGGGCCCAGGCCTTCGAAAACGAGCTTCGACGGCCAACCCTCATCACCCAACAGCGCTTGAAGCTGCTGCTTGATGGTGGAAACCTAGGAGTCTTGCAGCATGCCACAGTTTGGGTTTAGGGTTTAAGGTTTAGGGTTTAGAGTTTCACAAAATTAGGGGTATGCCTTTGGGGGGTCCCAGAATAAGTGTTATAGAATTTGGGGTTCTAAATTGGGCCCCTGTTTTGGGACACTACCACATACGGACGACCACACGCCACCAGCCATCGTATGGCAAATGTAAACCAGAGCTGCTACCTGCTACCTGAGAAGGATGAGCACAGCAACCATGTAGGGTTTAGGTTCAAGGTTTCGCATTTAGGGGCCTAAAGTTAAAGGTCTAAGGGTTTAGGGAAACATCTGCGCGCTGGGCATTTGTCAAACCTGAATCCTTCACACATGGGCCAACCCCTAGAGGCTCTGAACCACGAATGAATGCCACATTCTGACGCATCAAGCTATGACACCATCGTGGGGCGAGTCAAGCGCAAGCCACCAATCTCTTTGCCTGACAACCTCGGCATTCTGATTCTCTTGGCAATGCACCCCAGATACTTGGCCGGATATACAACACCGCGCGCAACAGTAGGGCATCCAAACTATACAAACCAAGCTACAAGAGGAAATTCACGTTCAATTCTTCCTCTGCCTCCGGACACACACGTCTTCACCGCAAAATGCGAGGAAGTTCGCACACGTGCTGTCCACTTTGGAATACCATGATGGCTTGACCCCCAGCCTCTGCTGCACGTATGCGTTCCGCATACTCCATGACCAACTCAGCACAACTTCCAATGATCTTACGTCTTCAGCGTGCAAACTCACATGAATTGCCGTGGGCATGGCAAGCTTGCCAGCTTCAGAAATCTACATGAAAAACGGAAGTTGGAGTCTACGATCATCATAATTGCGACTGCAGTGCTGCACGCGCAGTGTCGACTTGCCGCCGTTTTTTTGGGCAGCGTTGCGGCTGCAGAAGTTCTTGCAGCCATTGTTCGACGGCCTGTGACCAAGGCACAAAACAACCTGGAAATGACATTCCGCACAGACCGCATCTTTCGAAACAAAAATCGCTCACAAATTCCGTTCCTCTGTCATCGCATGACACAGCACGCCTCAACACGAATACCGTCTGATAAGAAGCAACAGGTCAAACATGTTCAGACCACGCCATGGTACTCCACAACCTGGCTTGCGAACGCCAATTGGCATATTTGCTGAACGAACACGCAAGCTCTGGGAATGTTTCGCAGTGGGGGACTGATAATGTTGTTAAATTTGTGTTACATGGTTCGGGCGTGTTGACATTAAGGCATTCACGCTGCAATATATTCAAAAGCGGCCATGCCTTAAGATCGGACATCTCGGAAACGCAACATTTGAAATCGCAAAAGATAAACCTTAAACCCAAACCGTGTCGCGCACCGTTGAATGCTTATGGATGAGGATGATGTGTCTAAGCCTTCGGGTGGAATAACACGTTTGCTTGTGTTGGGTACCTCAAGTGCCAACCAAAAACACCTGGGCAAGCTACCCCACAGCCCGACATCAAACCACCCAACGAAAACAACAGCATCCCTACCAAACCCCTATCTCGCCCCCGTATAAGCTCTACATAAGTCAAAAAAAAAACCCTGCATAAATCCTGTGAAAAAAACCCAAACAAGCCCTACATAACTCAAATTAATTCAAATTAGACAGCGCAAGGCCTCGAGGCTCAACTCGACGTTTGCCATGGCATGAAGTTTTGTATCTACAGCCTATAAAACGAATTATGTAAGGGCAATAGGAGGATAGAACAGGTATGTAAGGGCATCTAGGAATAGTATGGTAACAAACCGGGATATATGGGAATAATGTGGTCACATAATTATAGTCGCCCTAATCTTTTCAGAAACAGCCAGCAATTCAGAAAGTTGTGACACAAAACGTATAACAGAAGAAGAGCAACGACTGAACACATACATTATGGGATTTACAAGGGGCTTCATTTTATGGATGTGGGGAATTCATATTCTGTATGTTTGCGGGCAACGTATGTTGTGGTACAGTTGGTAAATTTTGCCAGTGGGTACTTTGCAAGCCCCGAACGCGATGTGCCCATGATATGCTAGCATGAGTGACATACATGCTAT